TTGTGCCCACTAGCTGCAGGTGTAGTGGGATTCTAGACAAGGCCACTAGGTCAGAAGTGGAACGAGCTTAATTCTGCATCGCTGGGACCTTCGGAATGACTGTAACTCAATCCAAGTAGTGACATGCTGGGGGTCGAGGGTCAAATACAGCCAATGACACTGGTTCGCTTTGGTTGGGATGAGTCTTTCCCACAAATGAAATGAGGGATTGTCAATTTGACTTTCTTTGAAAATAAACTCATCGCAGTATTGTCCTCGAGAAATGTGAGTATGCACATAACAGTGAACGACAAAATTTCTTCTTGCCCTACTTAAGTCAGTCTTGTCCCTCTGCCTTGCATTGTAAGCAAACCAACCAACAAATCTTTGAACAATAAAGGGAGCCATGTAAACTCTGTTCCCCAACATGCAGCACAGACTAACACTGGAGCTTCTTTCAATTTGCAGCCAGATTAGCAGGAGTGGTTTTGATACTGTCAGAACGGCAGAGATTTTTCTATTCCGAGTTGTCTTGAGTGAGTGGCCTTTTCAGTGCCTGCTTCAAAAAGCATCCCTGTACCCGAGCAGCTGTCACTTTCAGCAGGCACTGAGGAAGACGGAAGCGGGGGAGGGGTCCTTTGAAGAAACAGTTAAAAGTGAGCGATAAAAATAAACTGGGAGAGAGGAGAAAATTAATTATACATAACAGACAGTTCACTTGGATGAGCACGGCGGAGAAACTAAAGCTGCCTTCCTCAAAGAAAGAAAAAAGCCATTTTCAGACTGCAGACATTTCTGCTCTGCTCACAGTGGTCATATTGAATCAGCTATACTATAGTAAGGCATGCAACAAGGATTTTGGGTTTTTAATGGTCAGAGCATCAAACAGTACAGCCTGAGCCCTCATTTAAATTCCACAACCACTCACTTTATGCATCCTTTCTAGTTCAGCCAGTTTCCCCGAGACCAAAATAAAGCTGTCACACCTGATCACCCCCCTCCCACACCCCCCCTTTTTTTTTGCAAAAACTTTGATGAAGCTTGCAGATAGCTCAGTCTACCTTTAAATTTGCCTCTGATTGGCACTGATGAGGGTTTATGCTGCCGGCTCACCTGCAAACTCACCTCTTGATATGATTCGTAATGCACCAGCACTTTGTAGTTCAACACCGCCCACTGACTCTCAATCCCAGCTTCTTATTTGGGCCAAATGGAGGTCATTCCTATTTGAGCAGTCAGTCAAGACAGGCCCGCCAGGTATTGGCGAGTGAATTTATTTCATATTAAGGCTTGTCGGCTGGATAGGTGTTAGCACCATGAGAGCTGTGAGTGTGTGTGTGTGTGTGTGTGTGTGTGTGCACAGCATGGCCTTCGGGTAGAGCCCTACTGCTGGACCCTCTTTCGTGCTTTTTAATATTGCTGTTGCTGAGTGGCTCCTCACCTCAGGGCATCACAGAAACCCTGGAGAGCCTAAGTAAAATACTGATGGAAAGACAGGAAAGGAAAGGCTCAGAAAGAGATATAGGGAGGTGACCGACGGAGAGGCTGGGCAGGACGTGACGGAAGCAAAGAAGGAAGAAAAGATCAAGACGTGCAACGAAATAAATAAATAAATAAACACTAGTTTAACAGAACCCAGCAGGCAACATACCTCTCTGCCTAACCTCTTTAGCAAGACTGACACAAATGAAAACTCATGTAATAAAAACATGCCATCTCCACCGGCTGTGATATGAAAGCAGATATTGCATTACAACATCGCTGAGCCAAAAAAGCCCTCAGTCACACATGGGGGGGGTGGGGCAGAGTTAACACTACTGTGTACGTGACACTCTCTGACATAACCACTGTTTCAGTTCAAGAGGGGATCCCGTTTCAGTTAGTAGTAAACGCTTCTTCACTGAGCCAAAGGGGCATCAATGGACAGGCACTGGCAAACAATGAAGACTAGCCATCTCGTAAATGAAACATAGTGAGGAGCCAGTTGTGAAACAGACAGAGAAGCCTGGCCTGGCCTGCTAGTCCAGTCTCTCTCTAGGAGGAGGAGGAAAAGGGAGACCAGAGGAGAGGAGAATCGGCATGCAACCTGACAAGGTGTAACTTTGCTGGAGAAGAGGGAAAGTGTTCGATTTGGGGGGTGTCGGTGGCAAGAACGGACTAGGAAAGGAAGTCTGAGTGGCAGCATGAGGCTGGAGCCAGGAAGAGCAGCAGAAAAGTGGAGGCAGAGAGTAGGAAATGCCTAAAAGTTGAGGATGTTACACTGGTCAAACATTGAGGAACACCGGAAAAAGACCTGGATTCTGCAGTGTAGCAACACACAGACTACAAAACTGTGAGTGCAAACACAGTGCATATATCTTCCCACTGCATGAAAGCCATGAATCATAGTGCAGCATACCCTCAAGAATACAGTTACACTGTGAAAGTCCTTTCCCATATATAAACAATTTCCTTAACCCAGTGAAGTAGTTTTTCACTCCAGCTGAGAAAGTCCCATGTGTGTCTGCAGGAATTTATTTCAAATCCTTGTTTTTATTTCCTTTTCTAAAATCCTCTATCAATATAAGCAGTAAAGCAAAAATATATCAAGCTCAGTCTTACAGCATGCCAAGATGCAATTCAGTCCTCACTTTAGCGCAACCCCTCTGCTTCATCATCCATCTACAATCTAATTAGACCTTAAATATGCCGCTCACTGAAACGTCCGGAGCAATGCGACGTGGGGGGAGCCACACAAAGGCCGGACCAGAGGGGTGCAAAGAGCACATGTCAGCTCGAATTCCAAAGTTTGGACATCACAGATTTACTCTTCACAGCGGCAAACGGCAGCAGGCAGACTGGACAGGGCAGACTTTGAAAATTCACGACACTGCTGCTCTATTGTGGGGCAGATCTGTATCATAATTAGGGAAGATTGAGGGAAATTGCTTGTAATTTTCTGGCTGGGTTGCCAGCTTTCATGTTAATGCCGTACAAGATGACATTTGGACTAGTGGGACTTTTTGAAACAACAAAGAAACAATCACGTAGGTGAGATCCTCCCATTTCTCATAGATTAGGGTCAAAACAGGCAGTTGTTTGGGCATGTCTAAACATGCACATGTGTAATCATGAGCATATTATTATATCCATAATCACTTGAAGATTTTTTTTGTCACTAGGAGAACTACACTGAGCTTTTTGTCATTTCAAGCCCCGTCGCTGCTAAATAAGAAAAAGGTCATTGTTTGCACACAAAAAAAGTCAATGATGCCTTTGGTTCCTCTCTGTCAGTCACACGCTGGTGTGAATAATGCCAGTTTTGATTTTGACATGTTCAGTATGCTTGTATTGTGCAGCTGGTGAGATGTCCCTGGTCCTGTGGTTAAGTGATTTAAAGCCTTGTGTCTAGGCACCACCTCTTAAACAAACACTCATGTCATGGTTGAAATCCCACAGTATTTACATGTGAATGCATGTCATTTCATTGAACTGTCAATAACAAACTGTTGCTTCCCCTATCTCAGGCCAAACAGGGTCACACCACCTCTAATACAGAATTATGCCATCATCACACACAAACCGCCTCTGTCTATTCCAGGGGGTGCCACATGTAGTAAAATCGTCCGACGGGTGCCACGATGTGCAGATGATACACCCACGCGCAAATATTTAAGGAACACAGATGTGACTTTTCTCATTAACCCCCAGTCTTGCACCCCACCACCCCGAAAAAAGGTTCAAATTATCTCTAAGCCTTTACTCATCTAATATGATTCATGAATGCATGTTTAAAACGGGCTCCAAATGAATTCATGCTGCGTGCGGGGGTCGGGGTGGGTAGACTAATTTGGTTAACCAGGATTTGATTAAAAAATAGAACTGAGGAGAATCCGATAGAGCAATGAGAGCATTTTCAATAGCTGACAACCGATGCGCACTCAAACACACCCACAGACAGCCCTCACCACTCCATCCCTGCTCAGAAGAGAGGAATTCAATTGCCGTCGAATAACAAAGCTCGCAAATTGCCACAAACTGGTTTGCAGATTAATGGCCCAATCACATCACGCCGACATACAATTTCTAATTATTTTAAAGCTAATACGGGAATCGCTTTATTTATTTGTTTATTTTTTAGGTCCATTTATTAAAGCCGGGGCAGTCAAACATAAAAAAACAATAAATAAATAACATTAAAAAAAATAATAATAAAACGTTTAAGGCCAGGCAGACTCTTCAAACTTCCCCCCGATTATTTACCCAGGCGACAGTGAGTGTCAGCTCCTTGAATACCTGTAATTATGTATGGTGGTGGCATTCCTCCTCCGAGGCAATGCAACCGCCCGGCGCACTCTGAGCCAGATTAGGCTGCGAGCTGGTCCGCGTTAGCCCGGTGCCGGTAGTTTGCTTCCCCCCTTCCTCCTTTTCCCATTCTCCCAAAAACTCTTATTTTTAATTCAACAGCCGTGCTTCAAGCAGAGAAAAACTCAACACACTGCACCAAAACCCGCGGATACTTAAAAAAAAAAAACCCGCAACCATCCCCTTTTTTCTCTCAAAGCACCAGGTGTTCAGCGCGAGGCAATAGAGTAATAGAGTTAGCTAAAGCGGCGCGCGAGCTCAAAATATCCGCAGTTTTAACAGTTTGTGTGTGTCTGTGTGTGCGCTTCTGTGTTTCCAATCCGGCTGGTGGTCACACCGGGGCGCACATTCAACACAGCGCAACACAGAAACGCAAGTCTACACACACCAGCGCACACCTAAATAAGTAGATATCTCTCTACAGGTCCTCCGTCCGCACGGCTTTCCACGGCTGCCTTTGGTCGGAGCCACAAGCCTCCACCTTTCTCCCCGGCAAACTCGTGGAGAAACCACACAGCGCGAGCTGGGAAGACGTTGGGGAAAAGAGACGAAACACAACCCCAAACTCACCACACGGTGTCAATACAGAAGGGGGGGAATGTAAGCGCAATATTTCCACCAAAAACTGCTCCTTCCACGCGAAAAGAGCCCTGCTCCAGAGTTTTCGCGGTACTTACAGGTTCAAGTGATCCTTGGGGTAGATATCCTCGCCATGGTTTTAAATTCCAAAACTTGTGGACATTTCCACACTGGTCACAGAGCGGGTCTGCTCTCTCTCCGGCGGCTCCCTGCGTGTGAATGGAGCGGAGAGGAGAGGAATGCAGCTCCGGCTCCAGGAGTAAGAGGGAGGGAGGGAGGGAGGAGGCGCTCTGCCGCCGCTGTCCCTGCTGATGCTGCAGTACCCAAACAAACCCATAGAGGGCTTCCACTGCTTTATAATGTGAAGGCTGGGGAGACCTTTACATTACATTCATAATTTGGCCAAGCTTAGCTTCCACACGTGCAAAACTATTTTTTTCACGTTTTTAATTGAATTGTAATTATGAACTATTATGTTCGTACACTGTTAATTATCTGGCTTTCTGTATTTCCTCCTTCTCAGTTGTAGGTAATTATGTAGTGGCAGGCTCTGTAAATGAATATTTATATCTACTTAATAAAAATCTAAAAAGAAATGCAAAACTGTGCAAAAGTCTTGAGTCACCATTCATTTTTTTTATATTTTGCTTCCAAGGAGCCAGAGTTTCCTGTAATGTTTTTAAAGCAGTCTTGAGCAAGGTCTTTTAAAGTTGTTCCTTGCAAGTTGGCTGCAGTTCTTGTATCTGACCATTTTCAGAGAATTTTGTTTGTTTTTTTAAGTCACTTAACACTGACCTATGAATCATTCAAGCATAAGAAAAGATCATAACTCAAAGGATGAGCAAGTCTTGTAACTACACATAGCAGACGACTTAGCAAAGCAGCAATTTTAAATTGTCTTTAGGCACTTTGTTACTAGCAACCTGTCACAAAAGCATGTAATTTGTTCCCATTTCTTTAGCCGATTATATGAAAAATACCAAAGATAACACAGTTTGACAGGCATAAAATAGTATTTTTGCACCAGCAAGGTGATTTTCATAGAGTTATTAGCTGAAAACTTGGCACATCTCAGCATGGTGTGTAGCATGTCCTTTAAAAAACTGACAACACTGGACAAGTGGAGGACAAAAGAAGAAGTGGCTGACCTAAAAAGCTATTTACAGCAGATGATGGTATCTGAAAGTCATGTTCTTGAGAAAGAAAATTACAAAATCCAACAAAGATCTCACACAGGACCTGAAAGATGCAGCTGGACCTTCAATTTTTCTATGTACTGTTTGCTGAAGCCTCATCAGAAATAGTCTCAGTGGAAGGGTGGCTGCCAAGAAGCTATTCTTAAGGAAGGGAAATGGGGGAAATTACACAGGAACTGCACTGAAAGTCAGTGGCAACAGGTCTGATGGAGTCCTGAATTACAGTTTTTGGTTCAAATGATCATCAGTATATATGGAGGAGGTTCAGCATGGATCAGGACATTACATAAAGCAATGACAAAAAAGCTCTTCTGAGAAAGTTTGTGCTATATTTAAGAATAAATGTTGACTTTCAAGCTCATGCAAACTGTTAAAAACTCAGTTTTCACCCTATATACTTTATTTCCATGTATGTTTGCACAAGTTTCAGTGAATCGCTGCACCAATTCCCCATTTTCTTGGTAAAATATAAAGAAATGACTTTAGTTCAATTTAATTATATTTAATTAACATAAAACAAAGAGAACAAGAAAATCTGGAGGCCACTTAAAATATAATCATGGACATTGTTACTTTCAACTACCACTCCAGCAATCACAACTAATCACAGTTGTGAAAGTCATTATTATCACAGTTATTATTACCTACATAAATATGTTTCACAGCACACATCTCTCACTTCAAGTTAAAACAAATAGCAGACGCAGGAAAAGATTACATTAGAAGTAGACGACAGCAGAGGGGGAGAAACCCAGGCAGTACTGTGTGGGAACAAGATAGAGGTGATGACAGGAGTGGACAGAGTGACAACAAATATTTGCAAGACAACCAGTTGACATTAAAGCCCTGACAGGCACAGTTTATCCTGTTGCAAGATATTGCATACCTGCAGGTCGTGAGCAGAAAATCTAAATCTACAGTGAATGGTGTTCAAATTAGAACTTGCCCGGGAGATGATCGCAGACAGATTTTAGTTGTGAGCTCCACAAAACAAGTCAGACTTCTAATTAAACGAGGAGGCCCGAAGCCTGTCTGTCATGTCCCATCAGCTGACACATTTCCACAGCCTTACTTAGACTCAGTGTCACTTTGATGACAGATTTTCAATACAAACTGCCCCTGTAAGCCTATACCCCAACCAACTTTTAATTCTTCCTCTTCTCCTATGATATTGAACTTCACAATGGTGAAAGCCACCTTCGAAGCTTTATTTCAATATTCCTCGAAGAGCGAGTGAATATTAGGAGCTTAGGTAAGCCATGTTTTTGGGCACTTTTCCATGATGTCTGTGCAGCAAGGAAGCTTTTGGGATAACTGAGTTACTCAAACAGGCAGCTCAGGTTACCAATTGCACTCAGGAGAGCAGAGACCAAGATCTGGCACTAACCACACCACCTGGCCTCACGAGCTGTGTGTGTATCTAAGTGTGAGAGGGTGAGAATGAGTGTTTCACGGACGAAGATGCAATGTGTGTTTTTGATTAAAAACAACACAGACCTTTGCGTGCCTGCACATTAGAATAGAAGAGTAGCTGAGTTTCGACACTTGCCAGAAAATTTCCCCCAAGTCTATCAAACCTCGCAGCTTTTCAGTAGTAGTCAAAAAGCCCACTGTGTGCCTTTAGAAACAATTGGTTTGGGCACACTAATACTAAAAGATTAGCCTCACTTAACATGTGAAAGGCCTCTGGACAAAACCTCTATCTCGCAGTTAAACAGTAACACATTGATTAGCTTTGTATTAGTGTGACTCACGTCTGTCCAGTTCACTTCAGGCCGGGTGCAAATTCTCATGGGAAAATTTTTCATGTAGTATGAAATACAATAGGCTTATGTGAGCCAGAATGACTATTTGCTTCCTCTGTCTTCCACTGAGCTGTTTGTTGAGTTCTGGTTGCATATTATTACAGTAATAAATAAAGACACAGCACTCCTAATATGCTTAAACAAAAAAACTCTGCCCTTTCTGTGCATATACCTACAGTGCAAACCAAAAGCTGTTTTGTCTATAGTGCTCAGTGGTGGTATTTTTTTTAATGAGCCTGATTAATCTTAGCTGTCATGACTTCACTAGATAGTGCACGGGTCGAGTTGCTTGGGCTGAAAGCTGTGAGAATATAAAATAAATGCACGCATGGCTGTTTGGATGCTTTGCTGCTGTTTTGCTCTCTGCTTGTTTTGTTTATTTAATATATATTCATGTAGTATTAATGGGCCTGAGTTTGGCAAGAAGAGCAAATATTTTAAGTGAGCAACAAGACACCAAGAAATGTTTGAAAAGAGTGAAAAAGAGCACCGGTCGTCCTTGAAAATACACAAAGTGTGCAATCGCACAGACGCACATAAATGCAGTTTTGTGCAAACACTCCAACAAGCAAGGATGTTTGCATCTATATACACAAACAGATCCATTCAAAGATCTCACATCTTTTCTGTCCATAAAACACAAAAGGCTGCTTTTATACACAGGGAAATGATCACACTCAGATACAATGACAGTACCTTGAATTTCCAGTTATTCCTGACACACAGATAACAGCAGATTAAAATGTGCTCCAGAGACACAAAAATAAAAGAGAGATGGAGAAAACTTTGTTTTAATTCTCTTAAAGTGAAAGAAGATCACTGTTTGTTCTTCCCTAGCAGTCGATGCCATCTCTTTTACTGCCCATGAAACCCGATCCTTGGTACATAAAAGCCAAAAAAACATCTGATCTGTGCCAATTAGGCGCAACTAATCAGATTTGAACCAGCGAGTGAAGTGCAGCTTTGGTAGCCTTGTAACCTGAGGTGGCACAGCTCGGGCTAAACAGGTAATGAGCCATTAATTGGCTAACAACAAGATGGCTGACTGCTGGGTAGCAGGGTTACAGGATATCATCTGGCTAAACCTGTCTGATCTGTTTGTACAGTCACTTCAATCCTATTTGAGCTCTGAGGATCTTGGGCCATTATGGCACTGTGCCATCTGTGCCCTGCATCGCCAGATCAGGACAAACAGAAACTTTTTGAAACGTCTGTTTGAAGCCAAGTCAAAATAACAAAACATAACTATCTGTCTTGATTATTTCAGGCAATTGAAGATGTTGATGTTAGAACAGATTATAACATTTAGCACAGTCATAATGAGGCGAAGTGTTCATTAAAATAACGCAGTCCAACACTAATAGTACAGAAAGATACACAGAAGCACAAAGCTATTCATTCATCAAAACTGTCCCAGAATTCTTTGCTCTGTTGTTCAAATATAATATATATATTATGGAGGGACAAGATGATTTTCTAGGCTTCATTTATAAACTTCAACCACTTTCATGAGTGAAAAATATTACATTGAACTTACATATTCACACCGTCATTTGCCTGTGATGAACCTATACATTTTCATTAGATAGACCTTTTCAACTGCTCATTAATGCAAATCTAATCAGCCAATCAGATGGCCACAGCTGATTGCATATTAACATGGTCAAGGCAACCTGCTGAAGTTCAAATTAGCACCAGAATGCGGAAGAAAGGTGTTTTAAGGTGGCATGGTTGTGTCTTGCCAGACAGGCGAGTCTGAGTATTTTAGAAACTGCAATGAGCTGGGTGAAAATGCCTTGTTGATGCCAGAGGTCAGAGGAGAGTTGCTAGGCTCCTTTGAGTTGATAGGAAGGTAAAAATAACTCATGTCAACTAAGAACAGGAAACTGAGGCTACACATAGGCTCATGACAGTCGACCGCAGATGAATGGAAAACATTGTCTTGTCTGATGAGTCTTGATTTCTTCCGCAAAATTCAGATGGTAAGGCCAGAACTTGGCATAAACAATGTGAAAGCATGGGTGCATCCTGCCTTGTATCAACGGTTCAGGCTGCTGGTGCTGGTGTAATGGGGGGTATTTTCTTGGCACACCTTGGGCTTCTTGGTACCAACTGAACATCATTTAAATGCTACAGCCTACCTAGTTGCTAACCATCTTCATCGCTTCATCCCATCTTCCGATGGGTGTTGATGGTTGGTTGATAACACACCGTATGAGAAAGCTCCTTAAGAACCCCC